AAAGTTAAGTAACATGTCCAAGGCCCGAGAGGTAGCAAATAAGGAGCCCTGGAAGCCTGATGCCACTGTGCTGTATTGTGGACAGGATTTGGATTGATGGAAAGGAGGTATGAGGGTTTTACAAGCATAGAGGGCAGTGTAAGGAAAGGGACGGGAAAGGGATGGGAAGCAGTGACTGGATAAATCAAAGTGGAAGATAAGGTAGGCTAGGGCCGGGTGGTGGAAAGCCTTGAATATCTACTTAAAGGGATCCCGAGTGGCAAGTGCTCACAAGAGCTGATATTTTGAGGTTTGGTGAGAAATCTCTGATACTTTGAAAGGCAACTTTTAGAAGTGAGTGTAGCATTTTCTCTTCTAGTTTAACCTCACAGTGTTATTTGCATGGTTAGAGAGAGGGATTGTGTCTTTTATGCCTGCTGCTGTATCCCCAGCACTTAGGTCCTGGGACCTAGTAGTCACTTGGTAAATATTCGTTGAATAAATGCATGAATGAAATATCTGGCTCAATCTGTATGAGAGGTTTATTCTTTATTCTGCCCAATGAGCCCCAAAATTTAGCCTCTTGTCTGTTTTCTCCCCCCACCCCAAGGCTGATGCTAATTTTCTCTGTTCCATCTGGAGTCTTTCTTCTTTACATATTATTTTCAGCAAAGGTCAGAATGTCAACTTTTTAATTTCCTAAGAACAGTTCATTCAGTCAAAATCCCTCTTGTGGCCCTCCCTGGTTATCCCTTGCCATTGTCACCAGCAGTCACCATAAGCCCTTAACCTTTCCCACCTCTTCCCCTGTGGATCTCTGGGCTGAGCTCCCTGCCTCTACCCTTTTCCTGGATCCAGTCAGTCCTGCTGGAAATTACCAGGCCTCATACTCATACCTCCAAGGCCTCATAGTCTTCTCCCTTCTCAGACACCCTCACTGGGAAAGTCCACCTCAATCCTCACTTTGCTTTCAGGGCTCTCCAGCCTGCCCTGGGCACACCTTCCCAGCCTCATCTGCACTGCTGTCTCAGATGGTTCCTCTCGAACAGATTTTCATTTTCTTTTTCTTTTTGAGGAAGATTAGCCCTGAGCTAACTGCTGCCAATCCTCCTTTTTTTCCTGAGGAAGACTGGCCCTGAGCTAACATCCATGCCCATCTTCCTCTACGTTATACATGGGATGCCTACCACAGCATGGCTTGCCAAGCGGTACCATGTCCGCACCTGAGATCCAAACCGGCAAACCCCGGGCCACCGGAGCAGAACGTGCGCACTTAACCGCTGCGCCACCAGGCCAGCCCCTCGAACAGATTTTCCTGCTGCCATCAAGTGGGTCATTAAGTTTGCCATCTTAGTACATTTGTTCCTTCTCTCTCATGTTCCTGGGATGCCTTCCCTTTCTACTTTGTCTCCCCAGAACCTTTCTGTACCCCTTTGTTTGCTCAGATCCTAACTCCGTTTTTCCTCACTTGCCCACTTTGAATGATTGCTCTTTCCTCTAAACTGTTACCAGTTTTTGTCTGTGTTTTAAATAAGCACCTAATTACATGTTACCTTGTGACATCACATTTATTGCTAGGCTAGGCAGTGTTATTGTGATTAGGGCAGTGGATTTTTTCTCCTTTTATATCTTCCTATGTTATCTCCCCCAACACATTATATGATTTTTGAAAGCCTTTAAGGTGCTCCATAAAAATGAATATTTATATTTGGTCATCATACAGATTTTTCAAAGTCAGACATGGATGGCAAGATCTATAAATATACATAGAAAAATCCTTAAGAATTTACAAAAAAAGCTACTAAAACTAATAACTAATTTAGCAGAGTTATAGGATTCAAGATTAATAGGCAAAAATTAATTATATATAGTAGCAATAAACAATTGGAAATGGAATTTTTAAAACTTCCATTTATAGTAGCATAAGAATACTTAGGAATAAAGTTATTAAAAGAAATCCAAGACTTGTACGTTGAAAACTTAAAACCATTGCTGAGAGAAATTAAAGAAAGCCTAAGTAAGTGGAGAAATATGCTGTGTTTATGGGTTGGAAGAGTCAATGTTGTTAAGACAGCAGTTTTTCCAAACTGATTTGTACGTTCAACATAATCCCAGTCAAGATCTTAGCAGGCTTTTTGTAGAATTTTACAAGCTGATTCTAAAATTTACACAGAAAAGCAAACGTATAGATGGCAAAACAATTTTGAAAAAGAACAACCAAGTTGGAGAACTCACTGTCACTTCAGGACTTCACTAGAAAGGTGCCCTCATTGACTGTGGTCCTAGGAAATGGATAGGCATATAGATCAGTGGGACAGAATTAAGAGTCTGGAGATAGATGCATAAATACATGGTCAATTGATTTTCAACGCAGGGGCCAAGGTAGTGCAAAGGAGGGGGGATAGTCTTTTCAACAAATGATGCTGGGACAGTCAGATATTTGTGTGTAAAAAAGTGAACTTTGATTCATACTTTGCATCATATAAAACAATTAATTTGAAGTGGATCATAGACCTACATGTAAAGCCTAAAACTACAAAATTTTAAGAAGAAAACGTAGGAGAAAATATTTGTGACCGGGAGTTGGGCAAAGCTTTCTTAGCTAGGACACAAAAAGCATGAGCTATAAAAGAAAAGAAATGATAAACTGACATTGCCAAAATTTTACAGTTCTGTTTTTCAAAAAACACTGAAAGAGAATGACAGAACAGCTCTTGATTGTGAGAAGTTTGCAAAACACGTAACTAGCGACTTGTATCCAGAATATACAAAGTCTGAAAACTTAATAAATAAGAAAACAACCCAGTGAAAAATGAAGTGAAACTCTTCTGTATGATACTATAATGGTGGATGCATATCATTATAGGTTTGTCAAAGCCTATAGTTTGTACAACACAAAGAGTGAACTCTATTATAAACTATGAACTTTGGGTAATATTGATGTATCACCGTAGATTCATCAGTTGTAACAAATGTACCACTTTGGTACAAGTGTTTTGATAGCAGAAGAGGCTGTGCATCTGTGAGGGCAGGAGATATATGGCTGTTCCCTGTGCTTTCTGCCCAATTTTTCTGTAAATCTAAAAATTAAACTCTATTGTCAAAAGAAAAAGGACAAAAATATTTGAACAGACTTCACCAGAGAGTAAATACAGATGGCAAACAAGCAAATGAAAAGATGCTCAGTATCATTAGTTACTAGGGAAATGCAAATTAAAATACTACTGCACACTTATTAGAATGACTTAGAAAAAAAAAAAGTTGGCAGTACCAAGTGCTGACAAGGATGTGGAACATGTGGAACTCTTGTGTATTGCTAATGGGAATGCAAAATGACACGGCCACTTTAGAAAATGGGGTGGCAGGTTTTTTTTAAATAAAATTAAACATATGCTTACAATATGACCCAGCAATTCCACTCTTAGTTGTCTACCCAAGAAAAATGAAAACTTGTCCAAGGAAAACTTATACATAAATGTTCATAGCAGCAATATTTATAATGGCCCCAAAATAGAAAGAACATAAAGGTTTATCATCTGGTGAATGGATAAATAAATTGCAGTGTTTCCATATAATACAATGTTATTAAAACACTACTGATATACACAACGTGGATGAATCTCCAGAGCAAGTAGCCAGTCACAAAAGACTCAATACTTTGATTCCGTTTATCTGGTATTACAGAAAAGACAAAACTATAGATCAGTGGTTGCTTGGGGCTAGGGGTAAGGGAATGACTGCCCAAGAGAACTTTTTGGGGTAATGGAAATGTTCTATTTCTTAATTATTGTGGGGGTTACACAACTGTATACATTTGCAAACGTGTACATTCCAAATCATTGAACTGTGCGCTTAAAGTGAGTAAATTTTATTGTATGCAACTGTACCTAAATCAAATTGTCACACACACAAAAAAGGAATATACTGGTGTCTAAGACTGAAGTCAGAAAGATAAGAGTAGGGGCTGGCCTGGGGGCGCAGTGGTTAAGTTCGTGTGTTCCGCTTCTTGGCAGCCTGGGGTTCACCAGTTCGGATCCCGGGTGCGGACGTGGTACCGCTTGGCAAACGCCATGCTGTGGTAGGTGTCCCACATGGAAAGTAGAGGAAGATGGGCATGGATGTTAGCTCAGGGCCAGTCTTCCTCAGCAAAAAGAAGAGGATTAGCAGTCGTTAGCTCAGGGCTAATCTTCCTTAAAAAAAAAAGATGAGTAGAAGGAATTCTGTTTTTCTGCTGTATGGTTAGTCTTATCCTCTCAGTATGGATCTTTACCAAAAATTTCCTATTCTCTCTTGAAGTTCATAAGCAAATCTATACTGAGTGGGCATTTCCCATTGAGCGAAGTTTGACAGCAAAGGTTGGAAGTTAATATTGGTCTAAAATTGACTCTAAGGAAAAGTGGCCAGAACCAGGGAACTTTCTCATCAAGGGCACCCACTCATTTTGCCAGTTATAGTGCTTTGGGTTTTTGAATGCTCATTTGACCCACCCTTATGTCTAAGCATGTTACTAGCCAGTGTGTGTGTGGGGGGGGGCAGTTTGTGCACAATTGCCTTTTTAAGTGAGATGTTACTTTGTTGTATGGGACTGTACAAGAGTGTTTGATATTCCTGGCCCCTGGGCGCTAAATACCCACAGCACTTCCAATCACTGGAGTATCTAAAACCACCTATACATTGTCAAATGCCTCTGGGGTTGTGGGGGATGGTGTAACTGACTGGGAAGATAATGCAGTTCCATGTTGAGTCAAGAGTGCAGGAGTTGGAAGAAAACCTGTATTTAAATTTGTCTTTGCCTTTTACTAGTCTTGCAGGGTTGAATGTAACTCACCCCCTCCCAAGTTTGGGCTTCCTCGTCTGAGTAATGGGATGGTTGGACTAGATGCCCTCTCGCTATAATAGTTCCTGACTCTGCAGTTAAGTGTGATACAGCGTTGGGACTTCTTTCACTGACCAGAGATATGATGTATTTGATACTGCTCCAGAAAAACAAATGTTTATGTGGCTCAGTTCTGTTGTTACAGGTTCAGCTTGTTGGTTTAGATGAAGAGAGTTCGGAGTTTATTTGCCGAAACACCTTTGATCATCCATACCCCACCACAAAGCTCATGTGGATCCCTGACACAAAAGGCGTCTATCCAGACCTACTGGCAACAAGTGGTGACTATCTCCGTGTGTGGAGGGTAAGCAGATGCTTGATTAGCAGCTGGACCAATGGGCTTTCTCCGTGTCAGCTGTTATTAGCATGGAGGCACAGAGAACAGACTGGGGTTGGAGGGAGTGAGTGTCATTGCAGCCTGGGAGAAACAAATGGTAGCGTATCTGCAGTGACCTTGTTTGGCTCAACAGATTTCCTAGTAAATCTAGCCAAAATTCCTTGAAGTCCTGCTGCTGGCTGCCGTCAGCCCTGGAAACCCGAGGCCCAGTTAACCTGATGTAATGATGATCACCTTCTGTGGGGGTGGGCATTCTTGAGGCCTCTTATTTTGTTTACAGCCAAGATATTTTTGAGTAAATTAAACAAAATACCAGGCCATTGAGTCTAGTAAAGTGTGTGAATGGATTATGGAGCCTTACTTCCCCTCTTGGCTGAGCTCATTGTTAGCAGCATCTCCTACAGCCTGGAGGGATAGTGCCCAGCCAGGTGAGGTACAGAGATTTCGGGTTGGGCAAAGTGACCTGGGTACTTTGGGCAAAGACCTCTCCTGTAGAAAAATTTGGGATGAAAATTTGGAAAACAAAGCTGGGCAGCGAGAAAGCTTGGAAAGAGTAGCATTCAGGGAGTTCCTCTGGGTTTTATTGCTCTTTATGATAAAAACCTTCCTCCCCTATGTGTTACATTTCCTAAGATATTGTCTAAACGAGGCTTTAAAGATTTTTTGCGAAAGTAAGTCTGGCTGAGTTTTTAAATTATTGTTCCTTCAGGTTGGTGAAACAGAGACCAGGCTGGAATGTTTGCTAAACAATAACAAGAACTCGGATTTCTGTGCTCCTCTGACCTCCTTTGACTGGAATGAGGTGGATCCTTATCTTTTAGGTAAGGGAGTGAGGGAGTGCGTATTCCAGTTTGAGGAAGCAAAGATACATTTTCTCAGCTACATTATCACACTGGGCCAGTTTTTAACCAGGGACCTGAGGTACATGCATCATCCTGGAACAGGGCCAGGGAGGAAAGAGGCTATATACGGAATGTGGTTATTAATTCCTCATGTGGAGTTGAGCTTCCCATGTGTGTACATCTTGTGTCTGCAGTCAGGGTCTAAGGTACTAGGGTAAGGACTGAATACTTGACTCTCTGGCTCTCCTGCTACCCTCCCTGTGCTCAGGAAGTGTTTCTGGCACGTTGTCTCCTGGGCTGAACAGAGGAGTAGGCACAAGGAGAGAAGCTTGCCTGGAAACCTTATTCCTGTCAGCCACTGACTTGCACTGGTTGTTTCCAGGTACTTCCAGCATTGATACGACTTGTACCATCTGGGGGCTGGAGACTGGGCAGGTGCTGGGGCGAGTGAATCTTGTGTCTGGCCATGTGAAGACTCAACTGATTGCCCATGACAAAGAGGTAATGATGCTGTTCCTCTTCTCTTTTCCTCAGCTGCTTTCTGTGCCCTCAGTGTGAGGTCAGCTTATTCTCTCACTATTTTGCAAGTTACGTGGGTAAATCATGGTATAATGCTGACGTTTTCTTGTCTAAAGAGAAAATAGTAATGTGTCAAAGCAGTGGAGAACAACACTGTTGTAAATGAATGCGTTCTTTGGGTGATATAAACAACTTATTCTATAGTCTATCATTTTTCTTTTCATGCCAGAGATTGCTGTTTGTAATAACAAACTCTCTTATAGGCAACGTTAGACTTGATGTGATTAAAAAAATAATGTTAGAGTAACACTTATCTTGAAATATATTTACTTTTGAGGGGAGGGAAAGGAGGTGGGAGGGAGGCAGGGAGAGGGAAAATTTCCTGGCAGACAAACCTAATTCATCAGTTTTTCTCTAAACTTGTTTTATGAAATTCTAGTATGTTCACTTAATACTTATACTTTTAATACTGTTTGGAATTGGCTATATTTTATTTTGATGGTGATGTTTCTCCTCTGTTGATTGGAAAAGCCAAGGAGAGCTATTTGTGATCATGTTTTAATCAAAGCATTCTTCTGAGTGATTTTGGAAAATAGTCATCAGTCTTCTCCCAGAGCTGCTGCATGCTCCTGGTAGTCTGATTTCCTATGGGTAGTATTTCCTTTTCTTTTCTACCTTACCCTGCACAGCGAGGAGTATTAATGTCTGTACAGATAAAAAGGATGCCTTGACCTTAGGTCAGAAACTTGAGGTTGTCCGCAGAATGGGAAGCTGGTGATCAGTTTATCATTCTTAGTAAGGGGTTGTTCTTTGGCTTTCTGTGCTCCTAAGGGTAAGGTCTGTTACAAGGCTGCTGGACGTGGCTGCTGCTAAACCACGGGGCAAAGGAAGAATTTGTCCTGCAGAGAGGACCAGTAAGGAACTTCTGGAAACCCCTTGGCATCAAGTGGAACAGGTTGCTACATTTTAGTTATGTGACAACTTAGCCTGCTGTTCTCTGTCAGGGTCCAACCCAGAAAACTAGAACTACTCTAAATATTTAAACTGAGGGGATGTAATCCAGGGGATTGCTTACATAGACGATGGTAAACTGAGAAGTCACTAGAGAATAGGAGCAGCAGGAAGCTGCTACTGCCTGTAGGCTGGAGGGGCGAAGGGAGGAGGCAGGGTTCCTGGAGCCCAGGAGCTGCAGCTAGAACCCTGGAGGGAACACAGCCATTGCCAAAGACTCTTCAGGGAACAGAGAGAGGGAGGAGAAATGCCTTAGCTTCCCCCTCCCAGAGGGAAGGGCCAGGAATCGATCTTAACAGCAAACAGGCCCTGGCCCAGCACCCTGGCCCTGAAGAAATGAGCCTGAGGATGGTTGCTCTGAGGCAAACAGTGATCCCTCCTAGCACCTTTCATTTTTCTCAGTCTACATCTCTCTGTCACAGTACAGACTTGTTTGGAGGCTCTCATTGCTGCCTGGTGGATTGGTGTAGAGAAGGGTAGCATATATCTGGGAGTTGTCACCTTCCCTTGGTTCATGATGAAATACACTGGTGGAGCACAGATGAAGGAGCAGTCAGTTAAAGCTGAGAGAGCTTTACATACTCGGCCACCTTGCCCATGGGCATCTTATCACTTAGTGATGCTGCTGTGGTGTCCCTGTTCCTAGGAGTTACTAAGAGCTGGCCCTTGGGGTGCACATATTGATATAAACACGCCCCTGCCCTAGCATAGCTGGACAGAGCCTTGATCTGTCTGGCCTCCTTGTGATGACTGGCCCAGTTCCCTTTTGAATTACTCCTAATTCCTACCATAGAAAGAGAAGTGTAATTTCTTCATAGTCAGCCAGGGGAAAAGGAATTTATGAGGTTGAATAGAAATAGATGCTTGTTTGGCAGTGTACCTTAGTAGGCAGAACCTCAAGAAGGCTGGAGTCATGATATTTAGTGAGAGATTCTACTCATGTCTCCTCAGAAGTCAGCTATTATCCTTAACCCCAGAACATCGGTTTGGTTTGGCATTTGTTTTTCTTTTTCAGTTTTTCTCTCTCTGCTTGTCTGGCTCTGGCTTTGTCTGTCTCTCCATCCTTTTCTTTCTCTGAAGCTCTCCATTGCTCTCTGCCTCTTTTCTTCTCAGAGACGTTAGTGGTGTGCAATGTTTGCAGCAAGTAATAAATGCAGAAAATGATTCAAAACCTAAATGGATTCACTTATAGATACAAACCAACTAGGAGAAGAAACAGAGCATGTCCTAGGACAAAAGAGTGATACTGAACCTCTTTGTGAATATAGGAACATCTGAGCCTCCCATAATTCAACTGCTATTACCTCTTTCTTACAAATAAGTCTCAGGTCCAGGTTTCACAGCAGAACCATGTTGGCTGCTATTAAGTGGCTATAGGAGGGCTGCTTTCACCTTTCAGATCAGTGATCTTGGCCTTAATGTGGTCATAGATCTGCCTCTGATCACACACACATGAAAGCCATCAAGGTTCAGGAAATACATGTCTCAATCCTGGATCGTGGCAGAAGACAGCTACTGACTCTGGCTTCACTGAGTCTGTCCATGCATTCAGAATACCTGATCAGAGCTACTGTGCTCTTTTGGTTAGCAGAGTCTGTGCCCTTTGTTTTATCACAGGGGTTGGAGAAAGAAGACTTGGAAAGCAGGAATGTGGGAAGAAGCCAGCCAATTTTCATGGCAGAAGGATCTTCACTCTTTGGAAAGTCATTGATGTTAGAACTCTCACCTACACTTACCTCCTTCTGTGTCACTAGCAGGGGTTTAGATGCACTAGGGATAGCAAATTTTTCTGCTGCAGAAAAAGGAGGTAACGGATCTGAACCTGACTGGAGCTTCTTATTCACCAACAGGTCTATGATATTGCATTTAGCCGGGCTGGGGGTGGCAGGGACATGTTTGCCTCTGTGGGCGCTGATGGCTCGGTGCGGATGTTTGACCTTCGCCATCTAGAACACAGCACCATCATTTACGAAGACCCACAGCATCACCCACTGCTTCGCCTCTGCTGGAACAAGCAGGACCCTAACTACCTGGCCACTATGGCCATGGATGGAATGGAGGTGAGCATCCCACTTCAGGCTAACATAGGCTCTGCTACCTAACTCTATCTAGCACAGCTCAGTATATCTAGAAGAGTGGTTCTCAACTGGTGGCAGTTTTCTCCCCAGTGGATTTTTGGAACTGTCTAGAGACGTTTTTGGTTGTCCCAGCTCAGGGGAGGGGAGCAGTGCTACTGGTATCTAGTGGGTAGAGCCCAGGGATGCTGCTAAGCATCCTACAATGCACAGGACAGCTCCCACAACAAAGAATTATCTGACCCAAAATGTCAGTAGTGCCAAGATTGAGAAAACCTAATCTAGAATAAGGACTACATGTTAACAACTTTTAATATTTGGAGAGTTGGAGTCGGAGCCAAGAAGAGCAATATTTAAAAAGTAAACTCAATCATGCATGCTTATGGTGCTGTGAATAGAAGGAGTCAGCTTTCCCCTTCTGTCGTCTGGAGAGACTCTCAGCTTCAGCACGCAGATAGGGAAATGGCAGCTCTCTGTAGCCTGTTACGGGATAAAAGCAGTAGTGGAGATGATGCCGTGATTAACTTTGTTTTTGTGCAAACCGCACCTCATATTTCTTACATTCCAAATTCTGCTTTGGGGACAGGGGGTTCTCATTCTATCCAGCTGAGCGTGCACAGAATTCTTAATGCATGCACCTAACAGGACTTGGTGGATTATCCAAACTTATGTTATCTGTTCCTGCATCTCCCCTTCCTTGTCAGTCTGAAGGCCTTGTGTTGCTAAGATTCAGACTATAGATTACCTGTGTTGTCTTTTTTCTTTTTCCTCAATCCTGTAGCAACTTTTGGGACAGAGACCCTCTGTCTCTAATAGTCTTTAAATCCACAAATGAACTAGTTATGCTTGAAAAACATATTTTTTTCTTGTGTAGTGTCTTTTGTTTTTTCTGCCATACTGTGAAATTCCTGTATCTTTTACTTGTCATTTCTACAGGTAGTGATTCTGGACGTCCGAGTTCCCTGCACGCCTGTTGCTAGGTTAAACAACCACCGAGCATGTGTCAATGGCATTGCTTGGGCCCCACATTCATCCTGCCACATCTGTACTGCAGGTAATCCTGGTGGGGGAGGGAAGGCATGGGGAGGAAGAGTAAGGAGATCTTCCTCATGTCTCCTTAGAATTGTAATCCTTACTGTTTTCAAGGATAGCCTGAGAGATTTACACAAAGTAACTCAGTTGAGAACCTCCCACACGTGTGAAATTGGAGTAGTCCAAATTTCCAGATGATCTTGTACTCTCAGTGATATTACAGCATCTTCCATATACTATTTACATCATGCGTTATAGGCTTGGGCCTCATACTGTCCCCATCTAAAATCTAGGTTGGCACAGGGGACTCAGATCCAGGAATATGGAGAAGAGGGGCAATCTCTCTTGGATGTAACAGAATTTTTGGGACCGACAAAATTGACATCTCCTTTGGGAGATATAACGAATCTGCAGTGGGCTCTCAGTGTGTTGAGGGACCCTGTGTAGCCTGGCCTGGTCAGTGGTGTGTGACTTATAATTCCCACTTCACCATTTGCCAGACCAAAAAGAGTACCCTTTAAAAATATGCTGGCCGTCAGTGTGCTTTTATTCTGGAAATACTATGTCTCTTATTAAAAATTAAAACACCACAGAAGTATATAAAATAGGAAAATGAAAGTCATTTTTCTCCTTCCTGTCCCATTTCCACCTCAATCCCACTCTCCACAGATGACCTCTAACAACAGTTAGTGTGTCTTCTTCCAGACCTTTGTATGTGGGTACGTATGTACACGTACCCCCCCATTATAAATCTCTAGCCCTTCATTGTACACAGACAGGACTCCTCCAGCCCCAGAGTGCTCTGCTCTTTAGGATCTTTTTCAATGCCTTGGGTTTCTTTCTAACATATTTTTTCTTCTCACTAATCAGTAGCGTCCTCATTTCCTTGTTTATTAAGGAGCAAAGGAGCAATGTAGTTTGCTGGTTTTCTGCCATTTTAGCATTAATTTGAAAGGCTTATGAAGCTATTCCTGTTTTTGGCCCTCTGCTCATGCTGGTATGTCTCACTGAGGAGCAGTTAGGGGCCTTCTGCCTTCCTCTGAACCTCAGGTTGTGATCTGACTTCTTCATGATTGCCCTCTTTTTCCCCAGGGATGTGGATACGGAGGGGTAGGATAAGGAATAAGGAAAGTTCATGGAGAACAATACCAGCCCCCCCAGCCCCAGCAGAAGTCCATCTTCTGCTCTTGGTGGCTGCCTCTGCCTGACTCACTGCTGTTGTATGTGAGACAGCTCACTACTGTCTCACGTCCTTTCAGTTGAAGGAGCTATTGCTGAAGAGTGTGCGGGTTGAGCATTGAGGAAGAGAACTTAGTGCTTTACAAGTGTTGCATGTTTAAAGCAATTCCCCAGATCTCTTGACAAAGATTGTCCCCTCCCACCTTCCCAACTTATGTGGTCTTCTCAAGAGGCCAGTGTTGCCTCCATGAGCCTGGCCTGTTAGGGTTTAGTTTATTCAAATCCCCTGTGTATCAGAGATGGGCTTTCACATCAGGGTGGGCTGATGGGATTGGGGGACACTGTGATATTGAAGGTCGTTGCCTTTTTTTCCTTCTCTTAAATTAAGAACTTATTATTTTGATTATAAAAGTAATATGACCACATTACAGATCACTTGGGAACTAGAAAAAGGTAAACATAACTCATAACCTTGCTATCCTAATAGTATCCCTGTACTCATTTTGATATATTTCCTTCCAGTCATTTGCATGTGTTTATATATTTTTTAAAGTGATTACCTTCTTTCTGGTATTTCCCAGGGCCATTTTCTTGGGGGAATTGTTTTTAATAGCACATGTCCATACAGTACTTTATCTCATTATCTATATAACATCTCAATGAAATATAAACATCCATAAAATGGGGAAAAATCCCATTAAATTGGATTATCATCCCATCATTGATAGGGCTCTTTAATCACTCAAGTACTTTACGTGGCTGAAAATGACATGTTTGCGGATCATTTTCATTCCATCCCATCATCCTTTCCTGATGCCTGCCCAGAGGAGAGGTGCCCATCTCAAGTCCCGCTCTACATCCTGACTCCGCTGCAATGAATGGAGCCTGGAGACACAGAGTTAGAGGCCTCGCTTTGAGTCCCGGCTCTGCCACTCACTAGCTGCACAGCCCTCTGGTTTGGGGCAAGTGCCTTAACATTTCTGAATCTCGGTCTTCTTGTCTATGGAATGAGGGCTTAAAATAAAACCTCCCTTGCTGGGGTTTTGGTGAGCAAATGCTTTGTAAACTGTGACACAACCCCCACCCACTCCCCCCCCAAACGCAGGGATCATATCCTATTGCCTGAGTTGTGACCTTGCTTGCTGGCTTTCTCTGTCCCTAGCGGATGACCATCAGGCTCTCATCTGGGACATCCAGCAAATGCCTCGGGCCATCGAGGACCCTATCCTTGCCTACACCGCCGAAGGAGAGATCAACAATGTGCAGTGGGCATCGACTCAGCCTGACTGGATTGCCATCTGCTACAACAACTGCCTGGAGATACTCAGAGTGTAGTGTTGGTGCCGCTGTGCCCCCGAGGCAGAGGTTTGTGTGCTTCCCGCCTCTGCCCCACCCCCAAAGTAAGAAGAAACATGTTTCCGGTGGCCAGTATGTCTTTCATTGCTTTGCACCCACTGTTACCAGAACCTGCTCTAGGAGTTCCTGGCCAGTCACCCCATCGCGCTCTGTGCTGGACTCAATGCTGTGTGGCGCCTCCTCAGCCCAGGGCTGAGTTTTAAGATTTTCTTCCTTTCCTATTTTCCTTTGGTTCCTCAATTAAAATTTTCTGTATATTTGTTTCTCAGCCATTGTGTTAATGAACATTTCAGCCCACTGGCTATGTTTGTAGTCATCTGCCCTAGATGTCTCTGTCTGTCTGCTGCCCAAGGCAGCAATCTGTGTCCATGTCCACGATAGCACTTAAGTGGGAACAAATACCAATTTGAAGTTGTCTCTCCTCCTATTATCAATGTCTTTAACAAATTTCAACTTTGTATATTTTTTATCTATCAGGCTAATTTTTTTATGAAAAGAATTTTACTCTCTGGTTACTTCCTTCGTTTCATAGTCCTCCCTATTAGCACCTTCCTCTCTTCCCTCGGTGCCTGGATCTGGCACTGGGCCTTTGACCCCATGAGCAGTTTGCCTTCTTGAATCACTGCCTGAGCGGAACGTACCTGACCGGGAGTCCCAAACCGCCTTGGTGCTCTGAAGTCCGCCAACTCTCACACCTTTTCTCAGCCTGGCTCTTCTCAGGGGCATTCTGGGCTCCAAGACAGATGTGTGAAGCCTTCTGTTATTCCTTGAAGTACCTCTGTGCAACCCCACTGGGACCCATTGGGAACATGTTAGAGCTGAGATACACAGGCTGATTGGGGTGCCTGACTTGAGGGGAATCGTTTCAGGAAAGCCGAGCTTAGAGCATATTTCCAGTACATAGTTTCAGAGTCTGTTTTTCCCTACAAATATAAGCCCTAGGCCACTTCCTTTCATGTCTTGAATGATAGGCAAGAATGATCTCTAAGCAGAACTTTGGTATCTGTTTAGTTTACTGTGACTGGTGGTATGTTGGCCACTCTTTGGCTTGAGCGCGCTGAGGTTAGAGTCCTGCTTGAGAGGCATACAATCTGTGTGTCTAACCCTGAACAAGATCTCCTGTAGAGTGTGGGAGACCGTCAGCTCTTATAAGGGATGGGCTAATAGGCCGTGATGATCCCAGGCCGTCAAGTAAATAGATAGCTACAAAAGAATCCAAGACTCCAGGGGCAGCCAGTTAAGAGCTCTATGCATACCTGTCAACCGCCCCGCCCCCAGTTTGGGTTCTGAGCAGTATTGGACTTGTAGGCTGCAGATATCTGTTTCCGTTATGTGAATGAGTTCCAGGGAAGGGACTTGTGTGTGATTCTAATGGTAGATGATTCTTTGAGCAGGCAGAGTTTGGGACACACTCAGAATTTGGGGCGGGAGGGTTTGTCTGGTTCGTCATGCTCTGCCAAGTGCCCAAAGGTTTCTGAGACCCTCTGAGTTGTGCATCTGAGAGTAGGAGAGTAGCAGACCTAAAGGCTGATGGTTTTGTCCACTTAGGCTTTTACCTGCTCTTGAGAAACAAAACAGCTAGCTTTGTTCTTCTGGGCCCTTAGACTCTTTTAGTTGAGTCTTCCTTTTCAGAAGCGGATATATTTGTATCCCCAAAGTCATAGCTCTTTGCTTTACTGCACAGGGGCTTGTCCCAAAGGAAAAGGCTCCTTTTTTAGTAAGGGTATTTCTCCTACCTTTTTACTTCCTTATTCTGATTTTGGGACTCTTTGGCTGGCCATCTGCTTGACGTTGACTCTCCTGCATCTACCACCAGATTTCCACTGCATCATTTGGAGATATAAAGAAAGCAGTTGTTCTTGGTCAAAACCCTCCTCTGCTTGTAATTGTGTTTGATGGTTCCAAAGTCCTTCTCTCAAGGGTAGCAAGTCTGAGTTGATGATTGTTTGCTCCAGGAGGTCATCAGGTCCTTCCTGTGGAAAAGGGTCTGAAGTGGAGGTCAGAGTGGTAGGAGGGACTGGTCCTGCTGGGACAGGGCTTAACTACACTAAGTTCTGAGTTAAGATTCCTTTCCTGATCTGCACTTAAACCTGGTCTGAATGGTGAAAAGATTTGTCAATTGGAACTCAAAAACAACCTGAGGAGAAAAAATTGGTCAATAGTAAATAGCATATATTTGCATAAAGTTGCTGTCTACTCTGGAAACCAACAACTTTTGATGCCATTTTTTTTTTCCCTTGCCCTGTGGACTCCCAGCCCTGTCAGCTCTCCTTAGGCCCTGCGGTGTGATCCTTCCTCCTCCTGACATCCCACCTGGGGCCCAGGTGAGACTCCCCAGTCTCCCCAAGCAAACACACACGCACTCATGGTTGCTGGGATTCTAGTATTTTGAAGTCACTGCTCTCTTACCCTCCCTTTATGCCACAGGCCAGATGGCCTCATGGCTGAGGAGGAGATTTCTGTAGTCTCAGGATTTAGAAAGCCTCTTAGCCAGCCATGCTCTGGGAAGCAGAAATCTGTTGTAGTTTTCAAAGCAAGTGTCTGCTTAATTTGTTTAGGTTCTCAAATTGACAGCCAGACAGAATGGGTGGGAGGTTCTGGATCTGCTCTCTTCGAGTCTGAGCGAAGGGCTGCCAGGACGTCACTGGGAAGGCCACAGTGGCGCCTCTGGGCTCTGGCTCTACTGGCAGTGGCCCTTTGATTGCTCTTGGTGCCCTGGGCTGAAGCTGCCTTTGTTTTCCTTGTCTGCTCTGAAGGGCAAGGGAGGTGCTGAATAAATTAGGCCTCGGGTTCCACGTCAGAGAGCTGGTGAATGGGTACAAGTCCTTCAGGAGCTTGAATATTTATACTCAGGAGAGTTGGAACCCTGTCCTTCCAGGGAGGAACCACGCTGCAAGATGAGGACTTGAAGAGGGAAGATATTTGATAACTGGGTAAGAATTTCTTATCAGAACCAGGATTGGCTCTCAGAGAACTGGTTAAGAATTGGGAAGAAAGAAAAAAAAATTGAGACTCCTACAAGGTTTTGATGATAGTTTTGGCTGAAATTTTAGGAGGAGATTTAGGATGTGGGGGAAAATCAATGGTAAGTGTTTCTTTAGATCAAAGGAGAAAATATTAGAGGGCAGTAAAGGTGTGCGGTGGAAAGCATTCAGATTGTCTATTATGTGGCCATGGAGTAAGACTGTGTCCTCGGCCCTTGTCAGCCTTCCTGGACCATTCATCGGGTATCTGTGATGCTTGGTAACTGTGGGCAGAGGACAACAGCTCAGAGCAGAGGAGCCCCTCCCTGCAGCACTGCAACCATAGGTGATACTTTATGGTGGAAATCTGCAGGTGCTGGGAGTCGTATGACCATTCCAGACCTTGGTTGACCATTCCTCTTCTTGGTTGTAGGTTTGTAGAGAGCAGAAGAAGCAGACGTTGTAAACAGTCATGTTGACTTTTCTTCCCTCCCTTTTCTCTTCCTCTTATCTTCCCACTTCCTTTCTAGGATAGAACTTTCTCCCTGGTGCAACCTGGGCCTTGAATTCCTAGGCTGTAAGGACATGCAGGAGCTTCATGGGAGGGCCAGCCCAGTACCATGCCTCCACCTTCCCCAGTTTGCCAATATGGCAGCTCCTTTGACTGCCTGGCTTGGGATAAGGGAGACCATTGAAGTAGAAGCCTCAAAGCAGACTCCTCCCTTTTCTCTCTGCACTCCAGGATGAGGAAGGAGGGTCATGCTTGGCACTTAAATTGGGTCTTCTCTGGGAGGAAAGCTGAGCTGAGCAGTCACTGACCTCTGGGCCAGGCTCTCCAAGAATCACCTTTTCTCTACTGGCTAGGCCAGCTACTGAGAGTGTCTCATGTTGCAGAACCTTGCCCACCTCTCTTACCTGCATCCTCTTCTTCTCCCTCAGTTGTCATTGCTGCTAATGGTCAAAGTCAAATATATGGTCACACAGAATGGGCCAGGTCCTCTTAGGCTACTTTCTGGATGTTATTTTTTAAATATGGAAACATGCAGGTGCCTTCCCAAAGAAGCTTGGACTAGTGTATCAAACCAGAAACAAAATAAGCTAGTGAAAGTATGAACTCAAGAAGAAAGAGGTTGGCAGTCTGTGTAACAGGTGGAAATCTTACAAAGTTTTTGGGACAACCCAGTGAATATGAACTTGCAATATCTACTATTTAAAAGAAATGTTCTCACCTTGGGTTGGTTGTGGTATACAGTGTGTTCTGAAACTTGTTGAGCTAAAGCTTTGACTTGCTTGAGTCAAGTATGAATCATTTGCTTTGGTTCCTGTGTATTTTATGACCCTCTGTCAGTGACTTTCTGTCCCTCCTCCCCTGAGTGTGAATTTGTAGCATGATTGTACAAACCTCTATGTAGAAAATGGAGATTTCTTGTTCTCTGACATATTAAGCTCTAGCCAATTTCTGTCCCCTTTAGCCTAGTGTGTCCAAACTTACTTTCTTGTTATATGTTTAAACTTTTCCTCTATACTATAGGTTTTGTGGCATCCCATGGTCAGGTGGAGAGGAAGCTGCCCCTTGCAGAACTGTACTGTAACCATTTTTCTTTTTAAAATATTATTTTCACAGGACTGATTGTACACAGGGCTTGTAATAAAATTTTAACACTGTGCTGTGAAACCATGATGGTAAACTCCATTGAAGGCTACTTTAAAGGCACCTGAAAGTGGAATGTTATATCTATGACTTTATTTCTTGCTTCCTGAGTATATTAAACCTAATTTTCACCCTTTCATTCTGTTTCAGCCTCCTGTATAAGAAGTACCATATTTTCTGCCCATCATACTTTGTAATAAAACTTGAACATGTATAGATTGACTGAATTTCTTCTTGTGATGAATTCAGTTCTTCCCATTCTGTCAGCGTGGTCATGGCAGAATGGCTGCTATTCTGAGACACTGGCTGGGGGATTAGACTCTGCCCCATCCCATCATGCTATCTGACAGCCTGACTCATCACCTTTAACAAAATAAAGAGCACCTTCTCTATGCCAGGGGCCATGACGCTCAAGTTGCTCACAGTCTACTAGAGAAGACATCCACATAAACAAATATTGGCAGTGTTGTGCAATAATAGGTGTGTTCAGGCTTACTGGTGGCACTGAGGAGTTCGTGATGACCTATGACTGAGTGGGAGCCGGAGCGGGTTAGGGAAAACTTCACAAGATGAAGGATGCTTGAACTGGATTTTAAAGGCTGAGTAGGAGTTCTCTGCGAATAGGGAAAGACATTTAAGGCAGAGAGAACATCCATGTACAGATCTGTAGAGGTAGGAAAGAATGTGGTCCTATTTGGAGAATTATAAGTTGATGTGGGGTTTTGTATAGAGAATTTTGGGAAATGTGGCTAGAGAAATAAGCAGGAGCCAGATCAGGCAGAGTCTTTTGTGCTTTGCAGAAAGTTTAGACCTTACTCCCATTTGAGACTTTGGAAAATTTACATAGAGGGAAGTGATGCTCACAATTGCCTTTTAGGAGGCAATGAAGAAAGTGCTTCTGAGTAGCGGGTGAGACAGGGAGTCACTTCACCTATTAGAATAGTCAAAGTGAGAAAAAAACCAAAGCCTGAATTAAGCAGCAGCAGAGAAGAAGACAGGGCACAAGTGAAGAGACTTAAGAGACAGGATAATCAGGATTCAGTAGTCTATTGACTGTGAAGGATGACGAAGAAATAACTCCCAGATCCCATGGGTTTGGACACCAGGCTCTAATGGCTCTAGAATTTTGAAGTCCAAGTCAGTTCCCAAGCTTGTGCCCCTACGTGGTAGGATGGAGAAGGAGGTCCCATCCCCACTGCTACTCAAATGCTGTGAGTCCTGGATGAATACTCCCCCCAGTTATTTTTATTTTCATTCTTTGCTCATGTTGGGCCATTTCAAGGGAAGAGAAGAAAGGCAAATTGTGATTGGTTCAGTGAGCCAGGACTTAGTGAGTGCCTGCCATTGTGTTAGCAGACAGAGCTGGGGGTGGCAGTGGGTCTGTGAAGAGAAGTTTAAATTTTATGTGGCAAAAAGAGTACCTGCTGGCTCTGTTAGAACTGTTCTATATGCTCTGATGTGGGATATTTTATGGGAAATACATGATTCTTGCTCTTTGGTTTTTAAGGGGAAAGCTGGAGAGTAATACTGACTGTGTTCATCTTGATAAGACTGGGTTATACTGCAGTAACAAACCCCCAAATCTTGGAGACTGAACACAAAAAAAGTTTGGTGTTTTGCTTACATGAAGTCCTTTGGAGGTTGGTCAGCCCTCCTCCATTTGTAGCTATGTCGTCTAGAACATGTGGCTTCCAAGGTCACCTTGGAGGGAGGGAAATATGTTTTTCAGGATAGTCCTGGAAATGGCTTACTCACTTCTGCCCATATCTGCCCAATTTAGTCACATGGTTCCAACCTAACTTCAAGAAGGTCAAGTAATGTAGTCCGTGTGCCTAGGAAAAAGAAATAAATGGTAAATAAATCATAATGTCTCTGCCACACTGTCAAATAAGCAAAGTATCTGGAATAATAACCAGTGTGATCTCATTCATTGAGAGCTGTTAGTACTGGACAACACTTGTTCAAACCTAACAGAAGGATCCCTTCAGCCAGCCTCTACTGTCCACGGTTCATTGTTAATGATTTCAATGATCTTGACAACGAGGCCTTTAGAGATGGTTCAGTCCCCTGTGAATTTATCATGAGACAGTAAATATTAGCTCAGACTGAGAAAGTAAAAATCCACCCTGCCATTCATCACAAACACACATAAAACCAGCTCCAAAGTTAACAGGAAACAATTTTTCTCCCAAGCACGCACTGCAACTTAAAGTGTCATAACAATTCCCTTCTCTGAGTGACCACAGTTTTTTTTTAATTCACTGGGAAACTTTGTTCTCTAAAATCATAGATATCAGAAAGTTTGCTGTTTGAAATTATATCAGTGAGAATGTAGCTTTACAGTCTTGCTTGGAGAATCTAAGTCACTTTGACAGGGAAGGAGCCTTGATTTCCAGCCCAGGTGTAGAGCTTCAGAGCAGGGGTTTCTGCACACAACATTCCACATTTATCTTAACTCTGTAGTTTCCAAGGAAACTGAACCCTGGGTCCACTTTGCAGTCCAGAGCTGATGTTGATCCTCTTCTTATACAGTTCTGTGTTCCTTTGAGCCTATCAAGCTCTATTTCACTGAAATTTCACCTAAGCTCCACCCTTCCCCATAATCCTGTAAGAACTGTCTTTTCCTTTGTCTGGTGACAACCCCCCCATTCCTCTGGTTTGCAGTCTCCCATGTTGGCAGCAAGTCAGCCTGCCTTCCTTGGACTACAGGTTTGCCCGGTGGACTTAGGCTGATTAGATGAGAGCAGTCTCAAACTTTGTTTTGGCCTCTATGCTTATTTGAAATTATAAGTTCCATTAATTTTATTTTTACTACTCAAAGTAACAAACTATGTTTCTGCAGTTTTATTGAGATATAATTGACATATAACATTGTATTAGTTTAAGGTGTACAATATAGTTTTAAATTACAAAACAATACTACGTATGAATAGCTAGTAAGCACAGGAAAAGATGCTCAACATCGTTAGTCATTAGAGAAATACAGATCTTCGACTTACAATGGGGTTACATCCTGATAAATGCATCATAAGTTGAAAATATTGAAAGTCAAAAATGCGTTTAATATACCTAACCTACTGAATGTCATAGCTTTGCCTAGTTTACCTTAAACATGCTCAGAACACTTATGTTAGCCTACACTTAGGCAAAATCGTCTAACACAAAGCCTATTCTATAATAAAGTGTTGACTATCATGTAATATTGTATTGAAAGTGAAAAACAGAATGGTTGTGGGGCCGGCCCCATGGCCAAGTGGTTAAGTTCGTGTGCTCAGCTTCAGTGGCCCAGGATTTCGCCGGTTCAGATCCTGGGCGCGGACATGGCACCGCTCATCAAGACATGCTGAGGTGGCATCCCATGTAGCACAACCAGAGGCACTCACAACTAGAATATACAACTATGTACCAGGGTGGGGGCTTTGGGGAGAAGCAGAAGAAGAAGAAGAAGACTGGCGACAGATGTTAGCGCAGGTGCCAATCTTTAAAACAAAACAAAACAAAAAAACAACGGTTGTATGGGTACAGAATGGTTGTGAGTGTATCGGTTGTTTACCCTTGTGATTGCGTGACTGACTGAGAGCTGTGGCTTGCTGCCACTGCCCAGCATCACAAGAGAATATCCTATTGCATATTGCCAGCCCAGGAAAAGATCAAATTTCAAAGTACCATTTCTACTGAATGTGCATTGCTTTTGCACCATCATAAAGTCGAAAAACTAAGTTGAACGATCGTAAGTCAGGGACCATCTGTACAAATGAAAACCACAATGACATACCACATCATGCCTACTGGGATGGCAACAACTATAGTCAAGAAGAGATGAAAAGTGTTGCAAGGATGTGGAGAAAATGGAAACCTTTTACATTGCTGATGGGAATGTAAAATGCAACCATTTTGGAAAACAGTCTGGTAGTTCCTCAAAAGTTTAAACATAGAGTTACTATATGACCAATCCATTCTACTACTAGGTATATACTCAGAAATGAAAACATATGTCCACATAAAAACTTGTACATGAATTCATAACAGTATTATTCATAATAGTCAAAAGGTAGAAAGAACTCAAATGTCCATCAACTGATGAATGGATAGATAAAATGTGGTATAATCATACAATGGAATATTATTTGGCAATAAAAAGGAATGAAATACTGATACATGCTAAATATGAATGAACCCGAAAACGTTATGCTAAGTGAAAAAAGCCAGTCATAAAGGACCACGTATTGTATGATTCCATTTACGTGAAATGTCAAGAATAGGCAAACCCATAGAGACAGAAGTAAACTGGTGGTTGCCAGCTGTGGTGATTGTGATGGCTGCACAAATCTGTGAATATACTAAAAATCATTGCATCCTTTAAATTGGTAACTTATATGTGAATTATATGTTAATAAAGTTATTTAAAAAAACGAACTGTGCTGGGCACAGGAATACAGCCCTGCTCTCAAAGAATTTAATATGGCAGAGACAAACATTTTGATATAAAAAAGGTAAGTGCTACGGAACAGACATGCATGAAGGATTATGTGAGCACACAGAGTAGGGCATCTGAGCCTAACTGGACAATTTAGAGATGTTTTCTTCTGGTGGGCAATGATGCCTGAGCTGAATCTGGAAGGAAAAACAAAAACAATCCAGGTGAAGTGAAGTAGAACACAGACCAGCAAGGACACAGGTTTGTGCTTAATACAGGAATTGGGAGAAGTACTAGGAGCAATCTGGGGTTTCTAACCCGCCAAATACAAGGAGGAGAGTGCCAAGCCCAAGTAGCTTGGATAATAAACAATAATAAAGGAACAATTCATAAGTGAACTATTAGTTACAGCTAAAAATTCAAAGGAGGACTTGTAAGAAGTCTTTGCCGAGGTGACAGCTGAGCTGGGTCTTGACACATGATAAAGATCTTACGAGGGAGACAGTGAAGAACCCTCCAAGCAGAGAGAAGCAAAGAAGTGATAAAGAATTTGTATTCAGAGTACAGTGAGTAACTCCCACCAACCAGAGTGTAGTGTCAGGACATAAGACAGGAAAAATGAGTAGATCTATTATGGAAGTTCCTATATAATAATAACTAACATAAAATCTATGCTTATGTAATTTGCATCCATTATCCCATTAAATCCTCGAAAGGCCGTTCTACAGATAGGGAAACTGAAATATAGGAAAATAAAAGAACTTGCCCAAGGTTACACTTGTAAGTGTAATAAACAGGGTTTGAACCCAC